GCTTACTATTGGAGCACCAGCAGCCTCTGCTCCTCAACTTGCCACAGCCCTCTCTGTCTCCAGTCATACAAGTGCTCTGAAGAAGAGGTATTGCTTTAATCTCAGCATTTCCTCTCTCCTTTGACATTGGTTAGGGTGAATCATCAGTTAATAAACAGCATTTCTTAACTGATAGGTGCAGTGTTTCCAACACCGCAGACGCATTTCCCTTTACACCAGTTCTGGAGAACTTCAGTATGTAGTCCAGACAGGAGAGATAACCAAACAGTGGGACTGCGCCACACACTTAATCCAAAGAACCTGAGCTCCTGATCATCTTTGATGATGGAACAGGTGCTGTTTTTCTCAATGCTCTATCCAGAAAGCTCTAGACTCCTGCTCTTACCTTTAATGTTCAATCGTCCTCTGAACTAGTGTCCAGAGCAGCCTACTCCTCAGGAAGACGACTAACCAGATGGCTTGACATGCGATGGACAGGATTAGTCCCCTCTGTGGTCAGCCTGACCGAGCTGTGTTCCACTTGCCAAGAGCTTATTAGCTGTCTGCTTAAGGAGGAGCTGGGATAAGTCTCCTTCTGCTGGCAGCAAAGCAGAGGGGCAGGCGCTGACTGTAATAATACGCTGCTTCCTGTCTGTAGCTGAGCTGAGAGGTACTTTCCAATAGAAAAGGCTTTGCAGGAGCACAGGAGTTCAAGCTCCACCTCTTCCACCGAAGAAACTTTAACTTATGTAGGAAGGGTCAACAGCATGACTCCTGTGCTTAATGATTTGCTGCGTCCAATCTTAACTTCTGGAAGAAATCAAACGACCCATGTCTCTCTCCACAGAGCTCTCTCGGGTGGGATCTCAAAGCACTGAATAAGACAGGCTGGAAAGTGCAAGTTGAAACCCATGTAAAAAGTGATATACGAGTGAGGGTGAAAGTCCACACCGCCATTTGCAAGTGCTAAGTAGAAAACACAAAAACACCATGTCAAAATCACATGAAAACAAAACAGATGAACCTGAAAAGATCTAAGGGCTCTTCCTAGGTCCCTCCTGTTTATAAGTGTTTTATTACTATTATTATTACATATACTAGATTTTTTTCCTCCTTCAGTTACACATAAATCCTGCTCAAGCCAAGGGTGAATGAACTGATAAGAACTCATTCCATCAGCTTTGCTCATCACATTGGAAGCCGCAGGACCCATTCATTTGGCACCTTCTAGAAAAGAGCAGATCCTCAGCCAACACACCAACCTGAGAAGTAAGGATTTGTTCACCACAGAGAGATTTACAAAAGTGGGCTTATGGAGGTGGCCCTAAGTCCTTTCCAAGGCTCTCGAGCTACGGTGGCAAAATGCTTGCTTGGGCAACATACAGTAAAGCAGTCTGTCTCACCCACATTTTATGGGCTTTGTATCAGAGAACGGGGGTGCTAGATAGTTCAGGCCCATGACACAGGTAAAGCAGTCATTTGGAGAAAAGTACCTCCAAAAGAAAGGTTTCTTGTCATCACCTAGAGAAAAAGTTATAGTGGGTTCAAAGTGTAGAATGCATCCTCAGAGGTACTTTGTTTTCATGCTCCTGGAGCACCTGCAAACAAAACATCAAGTCACTGTGAAACTACACCATGCAATTAAAAACAGTTCATGGAAACAGCTGACATCTCTGAGGAAAGACTCAGCACGCCACTGTGATCCCAAGTCATCTGCTTCCTAGAGCTCACAAGAAGCTCTGAGGATATGGCTGGGCAAGCTCTGCTCAGAAGTTAGTGTCAGGCGTTGAGCTCACCCACTCAGGCTGCTGACCTCCATTTCACAAGGCATACAAGTGGAGGCATACACTGATGGTTAGCATTCAGGATGAAAGCTGACCACTCTCTTTGAAATAAATGTGTCTGAAGTACCAGGGCAATACGCAGAACTCTTCCAGGAGTAATAAGGAAGGCTTTGCATTCCCTCAGGAGAACATGTTTTAAATCAGTGTGTCCCACCACACTGCAGATGAGAAGCTCTGCTTTCTGCATGAAACCAAAGGCACGGAGAACTCCCAGCCTCACTGTGTCTGGCCATTACTGAAGGTCCTCACAGAATGCAAAGAAGTTTTATAATGTTGGTCTAACAAAAACAGAGCTCTTTTCTGTTCTCAGTATGAAGAAATGGTGTCTGGAGGTTCAGACAAATGCCTGAATAGTTTTAGCACTGCAAAATACTGCACTGCACTTATTTTCAGCTCTGCAAAGTGGCAATCACCCTTAAGTGTCTAGAATATCAGTAACCATTGCAGCCAAGTGCTGCACAGAGAAAACTACATCTGGTGCATCAAGCGAACCAGCCAGAAGTGACCATTTGCTCAAAAGTTCACCAGGAAGACTGCTGCTATGCCTGCACAAAGCTGAGAGTGCATGCCATGGTTATCCCTGGGTAGCACCACCGCAGATTCACTCTGAGGCATTGTGGAAGATAGCAGCTGTACCAAAATCCTCTGGTGAGAGACCTGTACAGCAGGTACTGTGGGATTGTACATGGAAAGAACCAGTCACGTAGAGCCCAGACATCCACAAAGATTTAATTCTGTCTTTTAATGACAGAGATGTGACAGAACAAGCAAATACTGCATCTACAATCCTCCTGAGAAGGGAAGCCTGCTGTGGGGCTGCTATATGATTTGTTCCTAGAAGCTTCCTGCTAAATAACTGCAGCTACTGTGCCTGACCTAAAGGAACAATAGCTACATATAAAGCTTTTCCTTACACCTCTCAAGGGACGCAGCTGCATAACATCTTATACTCAGAGATGCTCTTAATCACATGTTCCCACAACATCTTATGGTCATGCATCCATTCACTTTGGGTAGCAGTCCTGAAAACTGTCGTGACTACAGCCTGTGCAAACAGGACATAAACACTGAAAGAACAACCAAGCAAACAACAGCAGAACCTGTATCATATGCTCTCTCCTTTTTAAAGGAAGAGGTCTGCATCTTAATACTCACTTTTCTCTCTCTCCTGCTGGCTGCCAGCACTCCTATGTAGAAAGTTTACTAGCAACTTTATTTTTTAACTGTATTCTTTGTTGAATGAGGAACGTCACTCATGCAGCTCTCACACAGAGCTGATCTACTCTCCAATGCCTTCACTTTTATCTTTCCATTTTAAGTAGAATCAAGACCAAGAAAAGTCCAACAGACTGAAAAAAGAACAAGTAGTAGCAATGAGATTCCAACAACAAAAGCACAGTTTGGAGATCCAAAGCATTTATGTAACGCGAATTGTTTTAGGTAAAGGAAAGGTAACCTGGACAACAGATAAAGGACAAGCAGGCAATACCAAGTGTGAGCTTATTCCACCTTAGGAACTAACCAGATACTTCCTGCTTGGTAGAACCTCTGCCTTAAGATGTATGGACAGCAGATGAGTTTACTCACAGATAAATCAGTTTTTCCTAAATCCAAAACTACCAGTCTCCCTTGAAGAAAAAGAAAGGCAACTAAAACATGTCCAACTCCAAAGTAACTGCTTCTGTTTTACAGCACTGACTGTTTGATGTTTCCACTTCAGGGCAAATCAGTGAGTCCCACTGATCTGAAACAGGAAAGAAAATGCCAAGAACTCTGCATTTTAGAAATGAACTAAGCTGGGAAGGTATGGGAGGGAAACAGAGTGCTCTCAAAACAAAACAAAAAACAGTAACAACAACAAAAAAAAACAGCCCAAGAGAAAATTGCAGGACTGCACGGAATCCAACACAGCGATGTGGCAGATCAATAGCAGTAACCTTCTGATTTTCCAAGCATTTTTATAGCTTATGGTAAATTGCAGACAAGTTTCACTGAAAGGCATGATAGACAGAACAGAAAGACATGAAGAGAGAAGAGACTTTTTCCTGTAGTTCAGCTGAGCACCCATGATACAGTGATCAGCTGGAGACAGTGCAAACTCTCTCTGCTGCTTGAACATTCAAATAATCTTTAAACTCTTTAGCCCTTAGGAAAGGCAGGAACCAGCAGATAGTGACACTTAGTTATGGAAGTTACTCCTCACTTCTGGACTCAGAAGGGGACAATTTGAGAGCACAAACACAGTATTTCTTCCTGTGCATAAATCCAGTGCTTCTGCCAGAGATTACCTCTATCTCAACTAGAATAATAAGCAAAAGAACATTTTTCTTAATCTGAAAAATCAGTCTTATCTTACATATGACAAAAGTGAAGCAAGACCCTACAGAAAATGTATTACTGACAGGAAAATAACTTTATGTTCTTGAAAACATATCTGCTACAGAAATTGCTGCGGAAGTCTTCTCTGTGCACATGCACTGACACCTGTTCAGTCTTTACTGTCAGATGCAGATGGGCACTTGTCCAATTACTGATGCATAAAATGTTTCAAACGTATTTAATCTACAGATGGCACCATAGCTACTTTGCCCAGGTACAACAAAGCAAAAAGTTACAGCTGCATGATGGAAATACCCTTTGTTACACATGTCAGTTTAAAGTTGTGGGTCACTTTTGCAGAGCAAGACACACTACTCAGTCTTGGTCACCAGCAGGTTCAGTTTCACTGTCCACCTGCATTGCTCCATCCTTCATGTTGCCTTAGACCAATGTTGCTTCCTTTCTCCACTTCCTCCTCCTTTGTGAATCCACGGGAGGCTGTGTTCATCTCTATGCAACTTCTTTCTCTGTTCCTCTTTTTGTTTTTCTCTGTATGTAGCTTGCATGTATAAACACACATACATCCACATACTAATGAAGTCAGCAAAAAAAGTTTACATATTTTCAGAGCTGAAGGGAAAAAATCCTTAAGCAAAACTTCCAGTATAAACATCCCCCCCCACCCTGAACTCCCTCAGCATAACACATTTTTCTGTCCCACAGTGTGGATTCTATCAAACTCTCCTAGTGTACAGGTATGCAAAAGTGAAGTTTGTTCAGATGTTTTTAAACTATGCAAAAGAGAATGAAAGTGACTGAAAGATGTAAGAAGAATGGAAAACAATGTGACAATCTTACTGTGAAGCTGTTGTTGACGTTCTTAGTGCTGGATTCTGCCACACTGGCATCTGTCAGATCCACCTCATCAAAAATAATGGACTGCAAAGAAAAAATTGAAACCCTCAGTGAATCAGTGAATCCAGTGTAAGCAACAGACTGTATGTCTGCCTAGTACACTCCATCAGAGCCTTGCATGATTTAAAGAGAAGGTGCAGTACAAGCAGCACAAGGACCCAGAATCCTGGCTGCATACAGCAGTGCTCACATATGCCTGTCTTCAGTCAGTGAAACCACTGACTTGATTTTTATTAGGGGACTACATAGAAAAATTAAGTAAATAAACCAAAAAAACATTGTAGGCTTAATTCTAGTGAAAGGAGTCAGAACAGTATCTAGAGAACTATCAATGTACTAAAGCAGATGCATGGCTGCCCTCTGACTGTATGATAAGTTCTTGCCTTCCTCGTCCCCTCCATTTCCTCCTTTCATTCATGTCCTCTTCCTTCTACTTCATTTTCTATAGATTTTCTGCCCATTTCCCAATAAAATGTGCAAAGTGGGAAAAAAAGGTATTGCAAGCCTACGTGATGCTTTACTTCAAAAACCTCTGGGAGGTCAAAGTCTGAGGTGAAACACAGCGAGCTTCCAGCAGCTGCAAACCTGAAGACAGGTGCTTTCAGGGCACATGATCTCCTCTCATGGTCCGCCTCTCAGACTCATACAGTGACTTTCTTCCCATGGAACAAAATGCATTTTCAACACCTTACCTTAGCAGTCTTTGCATAGTAGAGCGTTCGCCCTCGCAGCTTAAAATATCGTCTCTTCCAGCGCTGGAAGGAGCTGGTCTGTTTCATCAGCATCCCCTCTTTGATGACAGTCTACAAAACAAGAAGAGGACAGAGGTGAAGCCCACCTTTTACTTTCCAGAAGTTTTTACATTCTCCCCATACATACCAACAGAGACCGCAGCTTGAGACCAATGATCTGAGTGCCCCCTGCTGGAAGCGACTAACAAATTCATTCATATAAACAAGAGGAGCCGATCAAGATCAAACCATCCCAACACATAACCCACACGGGGTGGGGCCTGATCTTTGTCTCTAGCACTATCACTGTACCAACACAGATAAGTCACTTATGACTGAACTAGCATTGCAAAGTCTAACAATGACTCGGGGCCCATAACAGTTAAACGCACTGAGGTCAGATTTCAGGTGCAGGTAATCGTGCCTTTCATCTAATTGATATTTCATTACAGGCACGGCGTTTCTGCCCCTGTCTCCAGTTCTGCTTTGTGATATCATCTGCATCTACCTGGCCAGGAGCTGGCAAGCTGCAGGCACACAGGATGGAGTGAAACTGGAGCGAAGGAGCTGCATCCAACCTCAGTGCTTGGTGTTCTTCAGACAGCCTTGGCTCTGCCTCAGCACGCTCTGGCCGCCTGCCATTTCCCAGGGCTGCAGTGCCAAAATTGTCTACGCACATGGCTTTTTTTTCCCCCCCTTTTCTTTTCTTATTGCTTTATAACTAGATTGTCATACCAGCATGCACAGTCCCATATGCTCACTCACATACTACACATACATGGGGGTAAGTATTTAATCCACATGCACTTCATTCTACTTTGTCGAATACATCTGATTCATTTGCTGAGGACACTTGGAATACCAACAGTTACAACCAACCAGCCTCAAAAACTGCAGCTTGGAGAGGCAACGAGCAGAAAAGCCAGAGCTGAGGGTTCAGCCCCAAGTTACTGATGGGAGGTACTGCCTCAATGCTGTGTGGCACCATGAGAACCCACCTCCTTCCCCAAGAAACAGCCCCTGGAACCCACTTCAATCTGAGAGAGCTGAATGTGATAAGCACCCAGTCAGAGCGCAGGAAACAAATGGTCCAGCAATCTTGTAAGACAGGTTATTCTGTATCTTGATGCCAGGAAAATTACACCATTCCAACAAACCCGAGGTCTCCAACCAGCTCAGGTTTGTCACACAGTTAGGTCAACCGATGAGCAACAATTAATTCACCACACAGCACTGCACGTCCACTGCCAGGCTACTACAGAGCACAAAATAAATACTCGCTGATCCAAAGGGTTTACACTGTTATAGAAATCCTTTCCAGGGCACTAAACTTGCTTTTAAAATGCTATATATATTTCTAATGTGGGTCTTTCCTTTTTGAAACAGCTGCAAATTTTAATACTTTCCACACGCACCGGCCCTTGCCAAGCTCAGAGTTTCCTCAAAAAGCACTTGGAAGAAAGTGCTGACTCTAAGGAGAAACATCCGCCTGCCGACACGACTGCTCTGCTGCTGAACGGGGCTGTCCCCTGATTGCAGGGCCTGCAGCACGGGCTGGAGGGGCGTGGGTTCTGTGGGATGCTGGACTCAGCAGCCTCCACTGCCCTCCTGCACTGGGCTGGAAGCAAGGGCAGAGAGATAGCAAAATGCACAAGCAAAGGCTGAGCTCACGTCTCCCACACATGCTCTTGCACCTCCAAAGGGCGCTCGGCTCCTGCAGTCACTGGTACTGCAGGGATAGGACTGTGGGAACACGCTGCACGCAACCGTAAGGCATCTGGCAATGCCTTTAGTGTTCAAAGTTAAAAGCTCTGCAGAGATACTCAGAACCAAGATTTTAAGCTAACTTGGGGCTCCATATTACTGCGCAGAGAGTCAGAAGCTCAGCCACGATCTTAATCTGAAGCATCAGCATAACAGAAAACGGAAATCAAAGCCTGACCCAACAGCACCCTCACTGCAAGGACGCTGACCAGACCAGAACTAAGAAACCGAGACAGGTACGTTTACCCCAGCGACTTTTCACAAGATATCCCACAAGTCATTCGCACTCCCCATGCCCCTATCTGCCATGCAGGACATCAGCACTGCCCAGCTGCACATGTACTGCATGGTGTACATGTACTGCAGGTGAGCTCCTGAGCCTCCAGCGCCCGGCTCAGAGACAGAGCAACTGCACCTGACTGCTCTGTTACACATATCGCTCCGCAGTTTGCCTCAGCCTTACGGCTACAGGGAAGGGAACGGAAAAATGGCAAGAGATCATTCCAGATTAAAACGTAAACACGGAGGGATCTTTTTGCATTTCTTAGCCAAAGCACATATCATTAAAAAAAAGAGACAGAGAAAGCAGCCACTGAGTTCTGCAAAGCCCTGAACTGAAGGCAGAAAGGAATGGGGAAGACTCCCAGGATGCAAAGCCAGAAGATAGCAACTCAGCCAGCAGCGTGAGCAAAAATAGCAGCTTGCAAGAGGAGATGTCAGACCTTTGCTGCTCTGCTTATTCACAGACATTCTTGCACTGGGGTCAGCCAGAACCCCACGCTCCTGCCCGGCCCAGCAGATCTGCGACGCGCAGTGCAGCGTGCCCTGGGCTCCCGATGCTGCTGCTCCTCCAGCTGCAGGGCTCACTCACCTCTGCACAAGCCGTGCATTCCTCCATGCCTCATTTAAACAGCATCCTCTCTTTTTTTTCTCTTTTTTTTTTTTTTTTTTTCCAACCAAAAGGCAACAATTCCGGAGGTCACTGTGCCCCTCCCTAACCAGCGGTGCGTGTCACTGCTCAGCCGCTATCTGTAGCAAACCTCCCTGCCGCATACCTCAGACATGAAAGGCCGGTGAGCAGCGGCTCTCACACACGCTGCTCAGATACAGCCTGGGTTCCGAGCTGCCCAGCTTCGCACGAGCTGCTCTTCTATTTATAGGCACGTCGCTCGCTAAGAGTTTGGTGGGTTTGGGCGGAAAGGGCTGGAGATAAGATCAAGATGACTTTATGAAATGATTCAGACATCGCTGCCTTTCTCCTCCTCTGTTCTAATTTTACAGCCAAAGGACTTGCTGCTTGCAGAGGAATGCGGCTGAACAGAATGAGCTGGGGAGAGGGCCTGGCAGCGGGGCGATGGCTGAAATGAAAGGGGGGAGAGAGAGCTGCTGCTGCTCACAGCCCCGCTGCAACACTTATCTGAAGATCTCCTTTGATCAGACTAGGAGCCACGCAGCTCACTGAGACTACAACAGAATTACTTATTCCATATAGGAGAAAAAAGAATTGAAGCCATTTTTAATGTCCGTTTTAGTCGGAATCTATGGGAAAAGCTACTGCTCTGAATCATGACGTGGGAGCAGGAGCCCATCCTATCAGGATGAACGTAGGGCCCCCTGGTAGCGTTGCTGCCATCCAGCTGCATGTCTCTCCCTGGTGTCCCGTGGTGTGCCATGGGTGGACAACACTGTGACAAATGCACGCCTTCCTGGAGCAACTGCAGTGATGTGCTGCTGGCTTCACCAGTGACCCCTTCGTCACAGCACAGGATGGCATGAAAAAGATTGCTACACAAATGTAAAGCAACAATCAGTGCACAGGGCAGGGTCTTCAGCATCTCTGCAAAGAACACGACCTGACAGCTGGAAGGCCTAAGAAATTTCTGGCATTTCATTATTTATCAGTGGCCTTGAAGAAAAGCAACTTCCTGCAGGCAAAAATTCATCCCACCACAAGCAGCACAACCCCTGCCCCCATATCACTGATCCCCCACGTAAACATGAGAAATAGGATGTCCTCAGATCTGTCCTGCCAAAACGGGTGCAGAGGTGTGGCCTAGCCCGAGCTCACGACACAGCAGCTTTGCCACTGCCCTTGTGGGGATGGTTTCAGAGGGCTCCAGGGCCCAGTTTGTCCTCATACAGCCCTGCAAAGCAAGAGACGAGCAGTAGGAATGCACAGAGCCAGTCAGACACGCTTTTGTTTCTTGCAGTATTGCTTGTATGAGGTGCCTCTGCAACCCATAGCCCACATCAGAGGTCCCAGAGCCAGCCTACACAGATGAAACGTTTCTTACCCCAATAACATGAGTAGTTCTAGTAAAAATAGCAATCACATCGTGCCTCAGCTGCTCGCTGGGTTACTCCTGTTCCTCCTGCACACAGTATGCCCACATTGCCAAGCGGAGGCGCAGTCCCCCCACAGGCCTGAGCCTCCAGTCACTGGCAGGCTCCTGGCACACCACAACAACCCCAGCCCTGCTCAGGCCCAGCAGCACAGTGCAGCTGACTGCACAGTGGGATCATGGCATGTTCTCAGGGGCAGCTGCTCAGGGCAGCATATGGTCCAGGCTCCATAGATCCAGAGGGATGGGGAAATGCAGAGGGTCACAAAGATGGTCAGGGCCTGGAGCATCTCCCTTGTGAGGGAAGGCTGAGAGACCTGGGATTGCTGAGCCTGGAGAAGGCTGAGAGAGGATCTGATCAACGCTTATAAGTACCTGAAGGGCAGAAAATAACTGCACAAGAGTACTTTCAAAGCTATCTAAGCAGCAAGAATCCTACATACCAAAGTCTTCAGCATCTGGATTGCTCTGTTGGCCATATGTCTTCAGAGCATTAAAAACCGTGGGATGCAGATTGTTTTTATTTGTGTACCCTGCAGAACCACGAGCTGGATGCTGATGCCAAAAAACAAATAGCAAGCTAAAGAAGCAAAGCACAGGAAGGAGAGAGCTAAATAACCAGGCATGTGCAGAGCTGACAGGCTCTCTCTGCATACACCCACCAAAGGACCATGCATCAGCTCTGGGCAAGTGGGGCACTTGAGCCCCATCAAGGAGCTCTTGGTGTGCCGAGGCAAGCACGGATCCAGAGTGGACAGTCCTATAAGGCTCCCTGGGGTCATCAATACAGAACAGGTAATCATGTACAAATACAGAAAATCCAACAAAGTGGCTGTGAGAATAAATCTAACCAAGCCCGAAGAATAAGACATGAGAGGTCAAAAGGCTGGGGGTTAACAAGCTAATCCGAGAGCAACATCCTTCCAGCAGACAGTGGTCACACCCTGGAAATTAACTCCAGGAAGCACAGGGGGGGAAATCTGGTTCAGTAAAGCAATCCTGAGTACGGGACACAAAGATCTGTAGCACAGCACAAGCACTAAAAGGGTGCTCAGTCCTGCTTGTCAATTCTGCATTAAAGGCACCGGATCTTGCACAAGTGAAAAGTGTACTACCACTTCTTATGCAAAGGACAAGATAGTAGGTACACTCATTGCAACAAAAACACTTCAGAAAAAGGGGAAGAAAAAAAAAGAAAATCAGAGGTCAGGCACAAGGACCAAATGAAAAAACAGAAGTGAGGGCTGGGAGCCTGTTGTGCAGTGACAGAAGCCACGCTCATGTTGATGAGGGGCTGCCTGGGTCCCCAGCACACACCACTCAGTACCTCTGTGCTTTAGTAACCTGCGTGCTATTCACTGGGAAGCCCCATGCCAGGCTGCAGCACAGACCTCAGCACAACCATGCAGGAGCAGGAGATGGCCCATCCCTGGAGGTGATGCTGACCGGCGCTGGCACCAGAAACGTAGCATGATTCTTGGGATCACGAGTGAAAAACAGGAGCCTGTAATCAGGCAGGCTGCAGTTAGAACCAGCATGGCACTGGCAAACAAAAGGCTCAAACACCTCGTTCTTCACCAGTTAGCTCTGCAGCTGGTGGACACGGAACAGTCTTTGAAGCAGCTCCTTTCAATGCCACGTTCCAGCTGCTGCTACTGTGAACAGTTCTCCTCTGTAAGCGCTCCAATCCATCAGCAGAGATAACCACAGCAAGGAAAAGCAACAGGTTTAAAAGTTACCTGAAAACTTTGGAACAGGATACAATTTTAAGGGGTACTGATTAAACATGACCTTCATACACTGAAGGACGAATATAAAAAATACGCTGCTAGCTTTTTTTGCCCTCTTAAATGACACATACAGAACTACATCCCTCCCCACGTTGCCATCCCGTCCTTCTCACCCTGCAGGCTGGAGAGGAAGGAAAAGGCAGCAGAAAGGACAGGTATGGGAAGTGCAGGGTGTGAGAAAGCAAAAGCCTTACCTGGAGGACGAGGACCAAATCCCAGCAGGGGGAAGCATTGGAGCAGCCCCCACGTGCCCACAGCAGGGCAGTGCTGGCAGAGCAGGGCCAGACTCTGCACCTTCCATTCCAACTGGACTTCCAGGAGGACTGCACTGCTAAGAGCAGAGAGCAGCTCTTGGCCCCCAGCCACTTCATTAATACTTAGGGTATCACAGGATTTATTTTCATCTCATCTGTAACAACTGTCGCTATCAGATTTTCCATATTTATGTATTAAACAACCTATGCTTTTAAGTTTTTTTTCCCTCATCCATCCAACATAGCTTTTAAAGGATACTCCAAAGTTTTCCATTTGTTTTTCCACTTTCCCTGTTTTAACGTCCTGCAGATACCTTCGACCATGCCAAGACATCACAATGAGCACCAGCAACAACAGGGGAGAGGGGTGCAGCCCTGGGAACACCGCTTTAACTCTGAGCTGAGCAGAAGAGAAGGCTCTGGCACGCATTCCAAGAAGGCTGATTTTTAATAAAAGCTCAGAATAGATCTTTCTCATTTCTCTCGAGGGCCAGCGGTGTGCGTCAGGGTGCAGAGCTGCCCCACTGCCTTTCCTGTAAGGTGCATGCACCCACTCTGTGTGGGGGAAACGGAGATGGTGCCACCACTCCCCATCAGAACGTGACATGGCTGAACTGATCGGAACTCACGAGACTCAAATACAATGTGCCTGATGCAAATATTACGCAGCCAAGATGGTGTTCCCTTTTTATTAAAAAAAAAAAGAAAAAAGAAAAAAAAAAGCAAACCACAACATGAAAATAGTTAGCAGATGTAAAGCTCGTCCAGCTGCAACGAAAAGAGAAGATTTCCCCCAAAACCAAAAGGCCTGTTGGCACACTAGCCAATCACCAGCACAGTCAGGCAGGTCCCCCTGCGTGCACTGCTGTTGCAGGCGGGCAGCACAGCCACAGCATGTGGGTGCATGGAGCTCACACTGAGCCTGCAGGGCCACCTCCTCCATCAGGAGACAGCTGCAGCCGTTCTTAGCACAAGCAGAACCACATAGGGACAAAGTGGTGTTAAACCGAGACAGGGGAGGCTTAGGTCGGATATTAGGAGGAAGTTTTTCAGCCAGAGGGTGGCGAGGCACTGGAACAGGTTGCCCAAGGAGGCTGTGGATGCCCCATCCCTGCAGGCATTCAAGGCCAGGCTGGATGTGGCTCTGGGCAGCCTGGGCTGCTGGTTGGCGACCTGCACACAGCAGGGGTTGGGACTGGATGAGCACTGTGCTCCTTTGCAACCCAGGCCATTCTGTGATTCTATGAAAGTCAAAATCCTTGCAATAAAAAATACTTTATTTTGTCTCTTATTTTGTTTGAAGGAACAGCCACAAGCCTCACAGCATGGCTTGTGCAATGCAGCCTCATTGGTAAATCTATGTTCTCAAAACACGCAAGGGTTTTATGTGAGCCCTTTAGTTCCTGGAACCTGAGCTATAGTTAGAAGGAGAAAAGCTACAAGCGCGTGTGGTTTTGTGCTTTGTTTTGTTTTTAGAAAGGAAGTAACAGCTGTTGATTTCACATGGCATCCAAAAATCTCCAGCAGCGAGGCAAACTGACAGTGCAGCAATGGCAGTGTGGCGCTGGGAGGTTTCCCAAGCAATGGAGCCCAAAGAGCATGCAAAGCGTAGCACAGATGAAGGGGCACAGGCATTCTTACAGCAGTGTACCATCTCAAATCCCACCCTTCTCAGCACCCAGGGGAGGAAGCAGCCTGCTGGTGGTGTTAGCCTGAGGACATCTGTACCCTCGCACCTGTGCCACGGACAGAAGGTGAATTAAGCCATAAATCCCCGAAAACACCCTCCTCATTTGTGGCACATCTCTTTCACACTGTCACTCCAGTGAAATGCATCATTTCTTATCATAACACTGATTTCAGTGCTTCTGCAGAACCAGCAAATGGCTCTGTTTCCCAATTCATTTCATCTGAGCAAATCTTTTAATATTTGCCCTCCAGAAATAAGAACAACACTTCTTCACCTAGAAGGAGGACGTTACTATCCATGAGGCCACTCACGGAGAAAAAAAGTGAGCTTCCTTCAGGTGCTCACGCGCCTGCTGTGTCTGAGAGCACAGCTCAGCCTGCACACCAAGGTGGGGAAACACTTTGTCCCCCCCACTGCATTTTGTTGCCCACACATCAGAGCTGCTCAGCAGAGAGCCCCGGCACAGAGATCCATCCACACAACAGCCAGTGTGGCACAGAGATTGGAGCCCCAGCAGAGCAGGCACAGTGAGCACAGCTCCGCTCATTTATCCTGCTTTTCAGTGTAAATGAACCTGATGTCTCTGCTACCAGAGCACGACAGCTTCCAAGGGCCAAGTGAGCCTGGAGAGCTGCTCGCTGTTTGCGACTCTGTTGAAATATATACTGCAAACTTGCCTTAAAAAGATCAAGGTACTGATAAATGGTTATAAACCCTAAAAAAAATTATGGAAAAGTTCCTCATAAAAGCAAACAGAAGTCAGACTGATAGTCTAAACAAAAGCTCCTCCTGATGCCACCCAAGGACGCCACTGAAATCCTGTCTGGTAAACAAACCGAAACCTTGCATGCCCAAATCACACCACGCCGATGAATGAGAAAAAAGACCTATCCATCCTTCCTCTGCTTGCTGAGCTTCATAATGTGAGGCTCACAATGAAAGATCAAGTGCTAAAGGAGGAAGGGCACGGCGCTGCCGGACCTGCAGAGCGCAGCGCTCCCCATTCACAGCCACACCTCCCAGGGCCACTGCTGCCCACGGTGCTCCATCTCCTTGCTAGCTCACCACCAAGACCACGCAATCCCTGGGCTGGCTGATCCCCCAGCAATGCTTGCAAGCAGGGATTTGGGGCTTTTGATGCCACAGGTAGCACCCTTCCCTGTTTTATTTCGCCTCCTCCCACCACAGGAGGCTCTTCAGCTGCCCAGCAGCTCCTTCAGCTCCAGCAGGCCATGCCTGGCGCCGAGAGAGGGGCTGGAACACCACAATGCTGGTACAAGTCTGACAGGTCTCAAAATGGCTGATGAAGCACTCTGTGCTGCCTGCTTCTTCGGCAGCCAGCGCAATGGCAGTCACCCTGTGAGCTACACCTTATCATACCAGCGTTCTTTTCCGTCTCCAGAATAATCACGACGAGGCTGATAACGCACTTCCCATCTTCTCCTCTTCCTCTAAAATTCTTTCTAGCTAAAAATAAAGCAGCTCATTAAGCACAGCACCTGACTTTGAACGCTGAGCTTCCTGCTCCTGCCCCACACTTCACCAGGGCCAGAGCACTCAGCCCCCAGACACCAGCCAGGAGCTGCCCCATTCTCTGCTCAGCACTCACTGCACCTCTACACCCACACGGTTTGCTGTATTGCTGCACCAACATATTTCAGTAGAACACACCTAGGCTCTCAAACAAGTTCAGCAAAGTGCTACGGTCCTGTCAGCAAGCAGCTGTATTGTACACTTTTTCTTGAGAAAGCAGAGGACAAGACCAAAGGAAGCACGATCAGACTGCTTGCAACCAACCCTGACAAGTAAACTCAGAGCAACTCATGGCTACAGCAGGTTTCACGCCTCAGTTCTGATAACAGTAAACTTTTATTGTGATTTAACTGCATGCACAGGCATGGTCTTCAGCTAGCTGCAGCAGATGTGTTTAGATGCAACTCACACCCTCCGGGCACAGTAAAAGCCTGCCCGCAGCTCCTGCTGTCACTGACAGACCTGTCCAACAGCTCCTGCAGCTCACAGTAGTCAGTGGACAAATTAAAAATGAGGTCTGCCATTAAAAAGGAAGAGACGTCCTCAAGGTCTCATCAGAGCAATGAGTACCCAAGAAGTTGTCTTTGCTCCCTGCCCTTAGGGCAAGGAAAAGCTCCACATGCAGCAGAGCACAGAAAAGGCACTTATGACGTAAAAAGCCATCAACAAGCATCAGAACAAATCCATCCCTGGTATCATAGTACCTGGGCTAACTTAGAAAATGTGACACTGTTTAGTGGAAGGTCTGCAGATTAACACGAGGGAAGTTTAACAGCTGTAGATAATATCTGTTTATAATCCTTGTTCTTAGCATGTTTACGTTCACGTAGTTCAAGTGGCTGATTTAGGCTCTTTCCAGCCATGCTGACGCAGGAAGTGACGTAAAACAGGGCAATGATTAAGTAAGAAGATGGGGATGTGCTCTTCTTTATTAAAACAAAAGTAAAATCCAGTGCATCTTTTGCCATAGCATCTTTAACAGCCTGCCAGAAGCACGAGTTCCTGCTCTGAGAAAGCCCCAGACACCACACTGGTCAGTAAGGGGCACAAGGTAGATGGGCATCCTTCCTCCCTGCTGGCATGGGACACCTGCCCCAGGTGGTAAATGCCAATATGTGTTTTAAATTAGAGCAAACCAGCCAGCAGAAAAAAAATCCCTACGAATATACCTCAGACACTGCATCACATGGAGATATTCACTCTCCTTTGCTACAGATGCAAGATAAACATCAGGAGCAGCAAGCAGCCTCCTGCACCCACACAGCTCCAGCTCCAGAGCAGACAGTAACTAACCTGGTGTTTGTAAACACAAATGCATCCATGAAATCCAAGGGTTACACAGGGATTCAACAGCTACAAAGAGGAATCATGCAGCTACAGTAAAAATAGTACAGACCAGGGCAACTCCCTGTGGGTGGTTCCCAGCCTAAGACTGGAGGAAAACTTCACATCTTCTTTTATGTTAACAATGCAGAGAAACTACAACTACTGTTCCTCCCAGAGAGCAAAATACTGTCAGCGCCCCTAAAAAGGGCAGAACTGTTCCAGAACGGGCTGCAGAGGGATAAAGCCTTACAGGGCTAAGGAGAGCGGACAAGGCTGCTCCCCGACCAGGGAGGTGATGCGAGGCAGAAAAAGCTGGGAAGTGAGACAAACCTGCCATGAGACCAGCACTCGTCCAGCCAGGAGGTGAAGCAGCATCACTACACGGCTACAGAAAGGAACGAGAGTAGAGCACAAGATGGGGAAAGACAAAGATGAGAACGTGCAGGGGGAGGCACGCCACGAGCGCAGGGGACAGCATAGGGGCTGCACCTTCCTTCAGAGCACACAGCTGTGGGTACGGGACAACTCACAGAAAGCCAGCGGGGCCAGAAGGGGCAGAAAGCGTAACGGAGGAAGGCGCGGGCTCTGTGCTGGGCTACTGAGGGGCAACCGGGGGTCATAAGGGCACCCGCAGGAACACCTCAGGGTGATCCATCCCTCAGGGGATCGACGGGCGCTCGGAGGACGCCGCAGGGAGGGCTCGGGGAGGCCGCGGTGAGAGCGGGGAAGGGCGGCCGCCGGGGTCCGCGAGGGCCGGGCTGCGGAGGTCCTACTCGGAGCCGTGACGGGCGGCGGGGCGGCCGAGGCGGCGTCCGGGTCCTCGGGGCGGCGCGGGGCGGTCGGCGGGTCCCCGAGGGGCGGGCCGGGGGCACGCGGCTAAGGGAGGGGGGAGGACCGGGAGTAAAGGGAGGGGGGGGCGGCGGCGCTGAAGAGACGCGGAGGCGGCGCCGGCCACAGCGCTGCGGGAGCCCGAGGCCCTGCCCGCGGCCCCCGCCCGCCGCACGCACCTTCTGGCGGATCTGCCCGGACGTGGAGACTTTGCGGATGAGTTTCTGCGGCGAGCCCGGCTCCTGCTCCGGCTCGCTGTCCGACGACTCGTCCGCTGCGGCGCTGGCGGCGGCGGCGACCGCCCCGGCCTGGGGCTGCATGGCACCCGCCGCCGCCATGCTGCACCGTGCGGGGCGGCGCGGCCGCAGCCCACCCCCCCCACCGCCCGCCTCCCTCCTCCTGCAGCGCCCCCTGGCGGACATGAGGGAAAGCGCTGAGGAGACGCCCCCAGCAGGGCTCCTCCGCCTCTCCCTGTGGTGCAGTTTTGAGAGCGCGGGAAGAGCAGGTGCTCCGCGGCCGGGAGTCACCGCAAAATTAATAATGCGAATAGCAGAGCGTTGGTGAGAAAGGCCTTTGGCTTACTCTAACCCTCCCCTCACAACCAAAGCTGCGCTCAGCTAAATGTGCTGCTAGGTACACCTGAGAACGGCTGCAGCGATGCTTCAGCAGCTGAGGGCACGAAGCAAGGCACGAAGCAAGCAGCTCGCCTCCTGTGGTCTCAGCCCAGGCGAGACAGCTGTGACAAGCACTGCCAGGTGGAGCTGTGGACTCAGCTGCCCTCAGATGCCTTCAGCATCTTAAACAAGCCCCGTTTGCAGAGCATCATTCAGCAAAGCAGGTTCAGCATTGCTGATTCAACAGCAACTTGCTTCCTGCAGGCTTTCAGCGGTGTCCTGTGCCCTCTGGGAGGAAATGGGCATCTCCAAAATGTGTTTTTTCCTCTAAGAAGTGACCACTGCTGTTAGGATCGAAGTGGAAAGCTCTTGAATTCATTTCTTGTTGCTAGGTTCAGAAACGTATGTTTATAATAATAAATGTAGGCCCAGCCTTCGGACTTCCCAGGAGAATTTTAATCCAGAAACAGTGAAAAACAGAGCAAAAATGGGAAAAGGGTAACAGCAGTCCTTTTACATGCAAAACGTAACTAGCTGATGCAACTCATTTCACTCAGAGCCTGTGTGAGACCCAGAAAAGGACCTCGTGCATTTGCATGGATAACGAGAACATGCAGATCAACAAGGGAGATCAATGTTTGCAGACTATGTTCTCATTTCTTAGAGTATAAGCTGATCTCTGGCAGAGCAATGGGGATTCTAAGGGCAGTTTGCCCCATGGTTTCCTCCTTAATTTCATTGCACATTCTTTTGAAGCACTGCCGCATAAAGAAAACTAGATTAGAGAACTAGACTAGCAGTTCTCTGGTTAGCATTGCACATAGGGAGCTATGTTAAGGAATTCATGCACAGAGCACGTTTTTCTGTTCCTTAATAATGTGGCTGTTAAGTATAGAGCTAGAAAGCTAATGCAACATCTCAGCAATACAACTGCTGTGAAAGAGGACTTGCAAGACATTGAGTGGTAGAGAGGGAGGATGTAAGCCATACACAGGATCAGTGCAAGCACTGAAGATATTAACTAGATGAGTTGGATAAAGCAGAAATGCAAAAGCAAACAAAAGGAAACGAAACCAATTTCGTATAGCCCACTGAGGATCTTTAAGTCAAAGGCAGCAAGCCAGCCATTCAAACTAGGACTCAGTTCACTAGTGAAAAAGATGCAGAGAAAAGACACAGAGACCCCAGCTGAGCACAGGCAGGCTGCACAAGCCCTCATTTAAGCTCTCATCAATGGTAAAAGTAACCAACCACCTGAACAGGTAGCTCTGAAGCAGATGGTGCAGCCTTCCTGACCTCCTCTGGTAGGTACAGTAAGCAGCAGGTATGGAGTTCGCTATGTTCTTATGAAGTGGAAAATTTTAATAAGTAAGAGAAATTTATGATTTTACGTCTACTGATTGCTGACAGCACATGCACCAAGAACACAGTTTACTCGAAACCTAGCTCCTAAATTAATCATTGGTGCCAGGCTACATAGCTTCTCCATCAGCTCGTGCTCTTTATCACTCATCAGTTGAGGAAACATTCTTGTTTTCTTCTTCATCACCCGTGTCTTTTAGCTGTTGACGAGCAAACTCCTCAAATACCATCTCTGCATCACTGAAAGGGAAGAAGCACAGGTCTTTCTAAATGGGGTCAGCCATTTTTTATACCAGCAGACTGAAAAGCAACAAATTGGAAGAAGAGACGCCTGGAGGAATCTCTGGTGATACTTCTTTTGTCTTCAAAGGGATTTGTATCACATCCCCCCAGACACTGTCTTCATTGGTGCTGTTCTAGATAGCATGAAAAGGAATTGACTGAACAAGTCAGGACACAAACTGAGGAGGTTTTCATCTCCAAAGAATCACGCTCTTTCCAGCTAAATATCTACATATGAGCTAGCTGAATAGTTTGCAGCCTGAAAGGGTCTTTGTACTGAGATCAAATGTGAAACCTTTCATCCTTCTGCACTTAAAATACAGGCATGTGGTTGAACACATTGAGTTCCTGAAACTACAGAGCATCAGCTGACCATCTCTTTCTCTCCAACTGTTAGGCAAAATATGATCTCAAACTACTTTCACATGGTCAGTCCTTACTGCTCAACTGATAGTGGCAGTTTGTCAAGCCGCAGCAGCTTACTCACTTTTTTAAGTTCATGCTCTGTGAACGCTGTGGATTTTCCTCCTCTTCTGAGGAGCTTTCAGAGAGGCAATGTGCAGCAGCAGCTAGAATGTGAAATACTGTTCAAAGAAACTTACCCATCCTTCCCTGCAGTCATCAGCATGCAGTAAGGGAGGAAAAGAGATACACCAACAGTTAGAACAGTGGATGCTAAGAATAGCAAAACTTTGTAAAGCATCAGGATTTGCAGCAATACAAGAATTCCAACAGTCTGAACACGTGTGCATGCACCTGCCGAAGCAAAACCTGATCTCTCTCAAATGTGATTTAAGTAGTCAGCTGATGAGGAGGTGTTCTCATTCAGTACACACACAGAGGTACTGAAATGAGAACAAAAAAAGGCAGCCTCTCAGCAGACAGAGGCAATACTCCTGATTTCATCCCTGCCTAAATATAAACCTTTGGTGCTTGTGTTCCTTTGATAGGATCTTTGCTGACTACGCAGCAGTGACAGCAGCATTGCAGCTTGCTAGCAGGATTCCTTGGAAGGTGCATTCAGCACAGCCTAAAGTAAGCAAAACAGATTATACTGCAGGGAAAAGGTGGGAAAATGGATTGTTTTGCTCTTACATTCACTTTATCAGGTAACCATTGCACCACTCGCTTATTTCTCATGAATTTAAGTGAGAGAGCACAGTGCTGTAAAGCCAGCGTTCTACAGGAGTCATCAGGGATTGGTAATGTTTCAGTGACTGGATGACCTGGGGAATTCCCACCCACAACAAACACTGAAATCAAGGGCAACAAGCTGTGGTTAGCACTGCTGGAAAAGTCAGTTTTAAACTGTGCCAAGTAGGGCACTGTAGCCAAAATGCCTCAAATGATGGGTCACGTAAAGGCTCCCCTGGTGTATGCTCATGGTGTGGAAGGACAGCTTCCTCTGCTCACAAAGGCCAGGATGAAATCTGGACAGCCTCAGGGCAATCATACTTGACTGAAATGGATTTAAAATGAAATATTTAGAAGTTGCAAACTTCCTTTAAAGTTTCCAACACCAAAGCATCATTTTATTTTCCTCCAATTTTTATTCTTTAAATAGTCTGTTCTCTTTCCCCTCTCCAAAGTACACTCATTACTATGGGAACAGTGACATCAGAGATGTGGGCAAAGCGAGCGATCTTCACCAATGTGGTTTGAAGCTGATTCTACAGAATGGCTTGAGGGGGGGGGGGGGGGGGGGGGGAAGAGGAATTTTTGGGCTTAGGCATTTATTTTGTTGTCTGATACTTACCTAATCAATACACAGATATTGTAAGAGCATGGCAATGCTTGCATAACTTTGGTGTAAGACTACATTCAAATACGTGCATCTTTCAATGCATTTTATCTTCAGGCTGCTACATTACATCCCACTGTAGGGCTGTAATGCCTACATCAGCACCCTAACAGGAGTCAGGCCCTCCCCTCGTTGCTACCTTGCTGTCCTGTGGCTTATTTAGCATTATAACACTGAAAGAGTCACAGGACCCTAAACATAAGGAAAAAGCCAACCTATTTCCAACTGGCATCCCTGTAATTGTTTTGAGGGTTAGGATGGGAGGGGGCTGTGTTTGAGGACAGATGAGGCTCCAGAACATCACCATGCTCTCTGCAGAGGGTTTTCTATAAGCTCTTATTATGCAGCCACAGAAATGAGTCCATGTAATTAAAGTTGTGACATATGGTAATTTTCATTATAAGCTTGCTTTTAACTTCGTGATGGAAAAAAAAAAAAGAAAGAAGAAGCTGTGTAACATTCTAAGGCATGCAAACCCTTTTGAAAATTCACTAATTCCTGCAAGTTACAATATCAATACGGGGTGAGCATAGGGTTAAAGTTACACAATATTTATGGGCTTCTTGAAAGCAGTCCTTTCGTGCAAGCTTAACAAGGGAGCAGATAAATGACCATTTGTTGAATACTAGCCAAAATAAAGGTCAGTGTCCAAGACATAGGCCCATGAAATGTAAAACATCAGGACAAGAGCAGGAAAACCCCAGAGCAAAGAACTCACACTGAGCACAGCCTTGTGAAAGTCCCAGCAGGAGCTTCTGGGCGGGCTGCTGACTGGGAAAGGCCTTGGAAGCACCAAGAGACACAGCCCAGTTGGATTCTGTCTTTAAAAGAAACTGCTCTCTATCCATTTTTGTCAATGGGTGGAAAAGACCGACTGCCAGCCGATGGGACAGGAGCTGCCTTGCCTAAAAATAACCACCTGGGAACCACATGGATCCAAAAACAGTTGCAAAACCAGCACACATGAAACGCTGGGCCAATGAGAAGTCCAAGACAAGGACGCCATAAATAGACATGGAAAAAGAAAGGCAGCAAGCAGTTCCATTTCTGTTTCTTCCAGGTGCGAAAAAGCGAGCAAACAGCAGTGGCCATGCTATCTGACAGAGCTGCTTTTTACTGAGGGATGAGTGCTCATACAGACAGATAAAAAAAGGTCAAATAATATGCTGTGAAAGCACAGAGCAGCTAATCCACTGTCCACATTTGGCCCCAAAATTGAGTCATGTTCTCCAGAAGTTTACCTTATATAACACTGGGGATCTCCACACTCACAGAATGGCCTGGGTTGCAAAGGAGCACAGTGCTCATCCAGTCCCAACCCCCTGCTGTGTGCAGGTCACCAACCAGCAGCCCAGGCTGCCCAGAGCCACATCCAGCCTGGCCTTGAATGCCTGCAGGGATGGGGCATCCACAGCCTCCTTGGGCAACCTGTTCCAGTACCTCACCACCCTCTGGCTGAAAAACTTCCTCCTAATATCCAACCTAAACCTCCCCTGCCTCAGTTTAAAACCGTTCCCCCTTGTCCTACCCCTGTCCACCCTCATAAACAGTCAGCTCTGCATGATTAAATGCACTGATGCTACATGTTTCATTTAATTTTGCTGTAAGTCACTTTAGCTAGAGAAGGGAAAAGATATTACCCCTCTGCAGGGAATAAGTCATTGTATGTGACATTTTTAATCCACTTTAGCTTCAACTCTCTAAACTGCTTCGACTTTTCCTTTCTCCCAGCTGCATCTTAAGATGAAGTGACAACTCAACGGAGAAGGGAGGTACAACAAACTGGTTGCTACTGACTCATCAGTAAAAACAAAGGGGAATGGGTAAAGGAGTGATCTCAAAATCCCCTGCGCATGTACCTTTTTCTACACTCATTGCAGAAGCTGCTAAACAAGCCAACAAATTAAAATTATACCTTATGGGACCCTGTTAAGGTACTCTAAATACTGTTTGTTGAAGCTCCATCTCTGCAATTAAGACTTGATTTGCTTGATTATAAATTCAATGTTATTTCACTTTAGTTTATGAACCGAAGCAGTAGAAATAAAAACTGCATCTCTGAAGTCTGAATGGTCCTTCCAGCAGTGAGATAAAGGCAGAGAACGTGGAAAGCCAGAAAGAGTTTCATTTTACCAGCTTCATTTGGAAGCTGTTTTATTCCCTGTAATGAGCTCAGACACTGCGCTCCAGCACAGTTGCCAGATCAGCTATGCAGGCTCCTGAGGGATTTTCTTCCGTGTTAGTTTCCTTGTTCAAATAGAAAGCACTTTTTTCCTCCCTCCCTTCTTGTAGGCCTTTCCCATGGATAGCTCTTGAAACTTCACTTTTTTCCTCCCCTAAAATCAAAAGAAACCTACAGCTTCCACCTGCACAAAAAGCGCGACGCATAGCTGTCTCCTGACAGCTCCCAGATGACTTCGATGTCACAAACAATATGTGGGCTGCATCTTTGGGGAAAGGATGTGTTGGGGGAAGTGATCTGAGAAATACTGCAGTTCTCTATTTCCCTTGTAAAGTCTTCTGCCCACATTCTTTTGAGCGTGCTACGCAACAGAGCATATCAGCCATCTTTTTAAATGATCTTAAAACGGAGAACTGACTGACTTCCATTCTTCTTCATCCTAGCCTACAAATGCTTCTGCCAAAATTATCAGCCCAAAGCACAGGAAATAAAAAGGGAGTTGTGGCATTCACACCAAACACGGTGTGACGTCCAAAAAACCCCCTCACACCATTCTGCAAATATACGCAGAATTCATTACCGTTCCCTGAGCCTTTGGATGGTCCTCATTTGAGGTTGTTAAGCTTCTCTCTGGATCCACAAAAGCTCAGTTTTGCAGCCCTGGGGTCCAGCAGCACCTCTGCCATGTGAGGCTCACTGCAGACACCAGATGGCCCTCACCAACCACCTTTCCTAGGCAACCATTTCAGAGGCAGGGGGATTCCTGCAGGAAAGTCTAGGGGAAATACGTCAGGATGTGCAAGCGGAACAGAAGGGAAGACCCTTGGCAAAGCTGCTCTCCTACAGAGAGTCACAATTTGAGACCATGATCAAGCGTGCAGCAATGTCAGCAGGTTGCTAGCAGATCTCTGCAGGCATGCAGCATGGAAGGGAAACCCACCACATGGGCACAGCATTTGCCTCACAGCAACTTCTCCAAGGCGGTCCACACTTATCAGTCCTACAGACCAACCCTGAGCATCCAATTTCCCATCTCACAGCCTGCAACCTGCATGCATCTGAGGAGTGCCTGTGCTCCTTCCTGGTGATGATGCTGCTGCCTTCCATGTGGCCACAGCAGAAAGGCAGTGAGGAGGGGGACAACCGTTGTGGTTCATCCCGAAGGCACTTCCTGGACTCACTGTGCTGCTAATGGCAATGCAACATGCACCAAAGACTTCTCATATGAGCACATGCTCACAGCAGAGGTTTTCTTGGGGGGAAAATGAGTTTTCATTTGTGCATGAGTGCAATGAAGGAGTTAAGAAGCCCTCCTTCAGCCACTCGGGTATGTCCATTGCTAGAAAACACTGATTCCTAACCAGAGACCTGAGGATCACCAGTTTTTCCTCTCACTGCTTGTGTCTAAGTCCCCCAACAATATAAAATGCTATAATTCAGTTGGAATAGGGGGATAACTCCTGCCATAAACTCCTTTCATAGACTCCTCCATAATCTAGTGGTCATGTTCTGAGATACTGCAACTTGAGGTAAGTTTCAGCCCAAAGAAAAAAATAAAGAAATCACAGTGCAGAAGCAGCCATGGGTTTCTGCTTGAAGCCCACATGACTGCATCCAAAGACAAAGAGCAGGACAGGCTGACTCATCTAGAAAAATCCCCATGCTGGAAGGCACGCATAATGTTTTGTGTTCATTAGCTGCTCCAGATGCTGTATAGGAAATCCTGATTCAGTGCACCTTGCAGTTTCTGTGTGATCACCACTAGGAAACAGATACAGTCAGGGACTGTAGAAGTGGGAAGAGAAAACACGCTTAAGACAATCTGAACTTTTTCCATCCAATCATCAGACTTTATATACCCAGGGAAAGCTAGTTCTTTACACTGGCCTATGATTTACACAAGTATCCAAGACAGCATGCTGGTTAACCTTCAGGATGTTTCTCACACTTCTATTTTCTGACCCAATTCTGAAGAGACCACTCCTCTCATATTCCTGTACACAAAAATGAACGTCAAGACCACACCACAAACACCATGGGCAATGTTACAGGTGCACAATAGGGATTTTGTAAAACCACAAATGGCTTTGTCACCTCTTAAACTTTGCTTAAAAGATTTTTTTGTTTTGTTTTGGTACATTTTAGGTGTTTTTTGTGACCTTATTTGCTGCATTGTAATCTGGCTAGAAATTGTTGACAGCTGCCCTCAGGATCCAGTGCTGATGAAATTTAACTGTGCTCCCTCAAGTCCCTGTGCTTTCAGTTGTGATTCTACAGATGAAAGAAACGAAACATGACCCAGCTCTGCTTTTTCTTCCATCTCAGCATCCCTTCTCCCTGTTCCCTTGTGCCTTGAGGTTCACACAGATGCACGTGGTAGTCCCCTAGAGGCTAAATCACTGCAAGCCTTGCAGTAGTAATAATTCATGTGGGACAAATACAACAACAGCAATAAAAAAAAAGAAGGCAAAAATGAGGTATAACTGACCTGCTGGGTTCTTTTCCTCAGGTTTGGGGTGCATGAGACGAAATGGCAGCTCTGTGCTCACCTCACTATGGGCGAGAGAGAGAATGCATCAGATCCACAGCCCCCAGCTGTGCCTGGTTCCATGCTCCTCTCACCTCAGGCCAGCCAGAATTCCAGCTTCTCCTATTCCTTCAGCTTTTTTCTAATGAGCAACCATGGCTACACGGTCTAAAATGAAGATGGCACTTACCTGGAGGTGATGTCTCCCAGCAGGCTACAGAAAGAAACAGAATAAAACACACTTATGTTTAGTGCCTTCCCGTTTGGATGTTCCAGCAGTAACTTTTTAGTTGTGGACCATCAAAATCACCTTCCTACAGATCATAACATCATAACGCACTTGTTTTTAATTTTCATTTTTTAAAGTTTTTGAACTTCTGACCAAGTGTTAGCATGGCTCCTTTGCTGAGGGCCTGAGTACCAGGACAAGGGCAATCCAGAGGGACCACAGAAAGCAGTGGTCGTTTTATCACTCTTTATGCATATCACTAGCATATACTCATTTTTCTATTAGGAAGAAGGATGAATGAATAAATACAAATGTAAACAGTGACTATCAGCACTAATTATGCTTGCCCTCGTTTGCACTGTATGCTGGGAACCATCTCATGCTGATACCACCAGCATCTCGCAGAAAGTTGGCTCAGTACAGAACCTTTTCTGTCTTTGTGATTCTCAGAACGATGTCTGGGAGAACAATACCAACACAAAAATTCAAGCAAAGTTTCACTTAAGCTCTCACAAAATCAAAATCATAACTTTGAAATGAAATTGGAATGTAAACCACAGGTTTATACAACCACCTCTGCTCATACGGTCAAATTCTTATTGCAACAGTGGGAGGTATAACAACACCTCAGGCTCAAGAAATCTTGTTTGGAGAGGCTAATGCACAATTCTGATGAAGTTTATGCCTGTTCTACGATATGTGCCCTTTCTTTTATGGTGGACTGTCCCACCTTCTCCGGAATATCAGTGAAATACACACTTCACTCTTAATTCTAAGCAGGTGCAGCAAGAAGTCTCTTACCCTGAAACAGTGAGCTTCACTCTGACCTTGTAGGAAACCAGAATCCCCATCACTGTCTTGTCTATTCCATCCTTAACACTATCAGAGAAAACAAAGTGGTGTTTTAGGTGGTACAGCAACAGAGCAACAACTTATGGCAGGAAAAAAGCAACTAGATGAACACCCCATTGTCCTAAAACAGAGCCTCAAGGACAGCTAATACCCCTTTCCATCCCTATTACCATTTAGCCTGAATGACTACGACAGGGTAAGATGCGCAGTGCAGATGCACCCATCAAGACAGATACAACCATCTGATAGGTCAGATCTTGTCCTCTTCTTTACACCCTCCAACAGTTGAGACCCTTTAAAGCTCTGCTCACATGGTGCTAGAAGCCAAGTTGGTATCCTCATCCTTTAGCTTGCCATCCAGGGCTATTTCCCGGGTCTGCCGGTTGTTTGCCAGCAAGGGCAAAACTGTCAGTGTTGTTGTCAGGCTGCTGTTTGGCTGCACCTTTTCCCTGGAAACAAGAAGCAGGTGAAAGTAGGAAAACAATACACTCTGATTTGCCTCACAGACCCAACTAGGATAACCTCAGAACGGATCTCAAAGCCATCCACAAGGAGTACGATTTATCTGTCCAGACTTAAAAGTCTACAACGTGGATGTGTGTGCCTGGACCAGTCAGAAAAAAGTCCTTTGTAATCAGCAGAGGGAAACAAGCATTTGCAGAAAATGATCTGTTTCACATTAAGGCAGGTATCCAAAAGTTGGTCCAACCATGCCACAGACCTCTGTACCTTGATGAAATGAATCCCAGTTCAGAAGATCAGTACTCAAAGGATGACCTGCTGCTAAACAGCAGAGCAAAACCCAGAAAAGTATCAAGTGTCTGGGTGGATCCAGTCCTCCTCACAAAGCAGAGCCCAATGGCAAATGCACTGCATGGCATAAGAGCAGGAGGTTCTCCGCACCACCACACTATGGAGCCAAGGGTTTGGGGAAGGTTCTGATCTCATCAGAGAAAGTGTTATGAAAAAGATTGACCCCAAACTAGAGCATCCAGCGCTCCCAGGCACACAGGAGCAGCTTTTAGAAAAGCAGTGCAGATCCTTTCAAAGATTTCAAGCAGTGGGGAGCAATGCACCCTTGTTAAGTGTTTCTTGTAAGTAATTACACTTCAAACAAAGCAGCTTTTCTGTAGCCTCCCCTGTTCTCTGAAAAAAGGAGCAAGGTACCCACTGGTACAAAAAGGGGAGACCAGCTGCACCCAGAGCATGGCTGGCATCAAGGCTGTAACAGCAAGCAACTGCCATGCTGCAGCCAGGAATACCTCCCCTACCAGAGGAGAAGAGTCATTAAGAGGTGTGAAGGTGCATAGCAAGGATGGATAAGCAGAGTGTTCACTCACGGTGCTTCCTCAGCAGCTACCACTTTCGTGTAGAAGTCACTGGAGTACAGAACCACGTTGGCAACCTGCTCCACTGAAGTGAGAAAGGGAAAGAGGGACTATCAGTTGTGCACAGGCATCAGAAACAACACAGCTGCTCCACAGTCTCAGGAGTGGAAAATGTGAGGATGACAGCAGGAAAACCCGAATATTTAGAGCCTGAAGGGAGCACCAGGTCAGGCTGCCTGATCACAGACTTTGCCACCTTGTGTTGTTAGTCTCTGTCTTCCCTGAAACACAAATCCAGCTTTGATTTGGAGGTGACAGAAAGCATCAATAGCCCATGGTATCCCTTGGGAGCCTGCTCTTCTATTACAAAGATCTCCTTCTCTAAACATGCTTGCTTTCACCTCTCATGTACAAGAGGTGCTAGTTACATCATCATCAAGCAGACTGGATACCAAACTGCAGCCACGCTCCTCTGACAGCATTCTCCAAACAAACACCAGAAAGTGTATGGTAATTGTGATTCAAACAGTGATGAGAGAACCTGAAATAAGGTCTTTTTAAGCTAGACTGAAGAACGTCAGGTTAAAAAATATTGGGAGTAACTAGATAGTGCATGCAAGATATGCACCGAATTGGCTTTCTCTGCTGTGGAGTTTTATGAAACCTTCAGCAACTTTGTTCTTTCCCTGCTTTCTCTGCTCTTTCTCATCCTTTGTCTCAGTCTGCCTTCCACAGGCCCAAGCAGTACAGCGCTTGTGGGATGAAAGCATGCAGTGCTACAAATAAAACACAGGCAGTACTGAACCTCAGGAGGAATTACACCATCGCTGACAGAGTGGCTGTTTCTCGCCGTGCAGGGCATTTCTGACAGAGTGAAGCCCACCACCTGGACATGTTCCCTGGTAGCTGAGCATCATGCTGACAGAAGCCCTTTGCACCCTGCCCAAGAGGCAGATTTCCCCCAAATCTGCCTTGCCTGCCACAATGCCAGCCCTTTCCTATGTAGACACGACATACGGGGGCTTGAAATTAAGCCAGGCAAGTAACCATGAGTCAGGAAAAAAGGCTTGAAGCAGCAAACAAACATCAACAGACAGGGAGGAGGGAGAAATTCCTGATGCGCTCCATACTGCCTGCTTAGGCAGTGCACAAGCACTAAATTCTGGCTCTTTCAGCCCTCCCACCATGGTGTTCTTGTCCTACGAGAATCCAAGCAGTGGTAAAAAACATACCCTGGACTTTGATCTTCTTCACTGTTTTCTCTGTGCTGTTGGTGACCATGACAGTGACTGGAATGGGCTCACCATGGTAGTACACCTAGGGGAAAAGCGATGCTCAGAAACCCAGTCAAAAGGCTTCTCCCAGGCCATAAACCATTCCAGTCCCAACAGAGGCCAGATAAAGCAAGGTGGCCCCTCCCCATGATCAATCCTGCCTCCGATGCCCTCCTTGGCCTCAAATGACTCTGATAACGGTGTCCCACCCTCCTCTAGCAGAAGCTATTGCCAAAAACACCTTAGAAGTGTGCAGGACAAGTCTGGATCAGCTGAGACAGAGTTTGGTAACACACAAAACAGCTGTTTGGGTAACAGAATGCTTTTTGGTATTGAAGTACAATGATGTCCCAGGGGCAAACTCCTCACCTCTTTACTGAGGCAAGCTTTCAGATGCAATGGCTTGTTGGACATGAAGAACTGCCACGTGGTCTCTGCACAAGGTTGGGGTCCTGGTTCTTCTGGAGCAAACTGCACTTTACGGATCAACAGCCGTGCGGAGTTCCTGGGAAGCAGCAGAAGATACCAGGATGGTACCTTGTGTTTGGCTGAGGCAGGAGTTCTGCACTCACACATGCTTAAACTTAAGAAGCCCACTGACAAGTGGAACAAAGGTGAATGAGCAACCACGCTCATTGTAATTCCTCCCTTCTTTATAAGGGCACAGTTGAAGACATACAGAAATACGTGCGCTGTTACCTCTTGTGAATTCTCTCTTCCAAATTCTCTGTTGAAAAAGCTTTCACCTCGAAGTCCACCCCACAGCTCTGCCAGAGAGAGAGGGCAGCTGTGAAACAAGCCACACCTGCAGACGTTCAAGCATCTTTCTGTATCCTAGAAACTGGCAGATTCCTGCCAACTGCAAATCCTTCTGGCCTATGACCATCGTAACAGAGATTCCCACCACCTGGTGTCTCAGCATCCCCCTGTTCCATGCTACAGGCTTAGCTCCCAGCCTTTGACAGATGACATCCCTTCTAAAATGATACGAGAGCAGAGTTGTAGAGGTCACAGCACACTGCAGGAGGCACCACCAGCAGGCCTGCAAAGTTCTCCAGTCCACCTTGGGTTTCTGAAACAGCTTCGTAATGCCAATACCTGACTCACAGTCAAGCTCCCCTCTTCCCAGCGTCTAAGGACTGGGAGAGATGAGGCCAAGCAGACCTTTGCTTTAACAGGTTTATATTGCTATGCCTGGCTTTAGACCTAGCCTAGCTGTTCAGAGAAGCATCCTGTGAAGTACAGGAGGACTACTTTAAACAGTACCAAACCTAGCAGAACATCTCACTGTTTGGTGATATATCCTCCAGAGTTTGTTTGTTTTTTTTTATATACACATACAAAACAGACCTTCTCTGCATTTGTTTTAACTCAGAAGCAGGTCTAACACCTGTTAGTTACACCCATCAGTGAAATTTCAGGCACTCAGCCTCCCCTCTCTCATGTGACTGATAGCTAACACAAGCTTGCTAGGATCACTTTGCATGTCCAACCCACAAATCATGCAGTACCCTTAAGGAAATGACAAGCACTGCAGATTTAGCACAGCCTTGCAGCTATTGGACTAGATTTTTTTTTTTCTTATTTTGAGGAATTGAATTCCAGCTCCATGATGCGTGCTGCAGCTGAGTTTCCAGCCAGGTTCCTGACGTTTGTGGCACAACACAGTAAACTCCATGATAAGCACCAGTGTACCAGTCTCACCTTATCAACGTCACGAGGTGAAGGCTGCAAACAGACTGAACAAGGCAGGTAATCTGGGAACTGTAGGAACAAAAAGAAAAAGAACCCAGAGCAACATTATGCAGATTTCTGTGATATTTTAATTAACTCAATGATCACAAAGGGTACAAGGTAGCCCTGAAGACAACAGGTCACTTCCATACAGCAACCCTTTGAAGTTCCAACTCAGAGAGAAGCTGGATCTTATGCTCACCGTACATGAACAAAGTCTTTTAGGAAGAAAGGGAGTTTAGAATGCTAACAACAGAAAAATGCAGCAGTGCAAACACAGACAAAAAGTAAGAAGAGACCCAGAAAAGAAGAGACCCATAGAGATTCTGGGCTTATAATCAAACACTAGAGCACCAGAGACACGCATCAGGAGCTGGGATATCTGGCTCCCACCCAGGATTACCAACATGGCTCACAGTAGTGCAAATCACTGTTCACATGGGCTTGAAGGTTGAGCAAGGCATCTGTTCTGGAAGCACAGCTAAGGCTATCAAACCAGCCAGCCTCCAGGCAGCGACCATTTGCTCCTGGTCTGCACAGGGCCAGCAGCTTCTCCAACTGGAAAGGCTGCAGAGCATCCTGGAGATGGAGCACTAGCACTCCATCAGTGAATCCAGCATCCAATCTGGGATCACTGGATTGTACCTGAGACGTCAGTAACACCCAGCAGGCACCCACCCACTGAGCAGAACCAAAGAGGCGTACCTGTAATGACAGACGAGAAGAAGGTCAGGGGCTCTTAAGAGATACTCACTGTAAAGAAAAAGGGGTAAGCATTTTTCCCCAGCTTCTTTAGCAGAGATTCCTGCAAGTGGGAGAGAGACTCTGGCTTGTTTTCAGGTGGGTACACCTGGACCCTAGAGAAGAACAGGTCTCTCCGGAAGGTGAGGCCGATCACATCAATGTCCTCCTGGCCATACCGGAAAGCACAGGTCAGAGACACGTACACTGCAAGGAAACACAGGCAGGTAAGGCATGCAGCAGGCTGACACAGCCAGGTGATGTAAAATCCTGCACCGGTCATGGAAACTCATCTCAACACTGTTGTATAACCCAGTTGGTATTCATATTTTAAGTCTTTATGCACATTGCTTTGAGTAAGAAGTCCTTTCATTGAGGAGTTACATTTGTACCCCAGAAGCAATGTAAAAAATAATTCTATCTCAGTATCTCACTTGAAAAGAGGACGAGCAAACTAAAACCTGCATTGCATAAAACCTCAAACCTTTTTTCCCCTTGATCATTGTAGGATCCACCAACACAACACCATCTGAAAGAAAGGAAAATTAAAAAGATTACTGGAGGATAATCAGGCTTAGGAGAGCAGAAAGGACAGCTTGTACACTTGTGGACTTACCTACAGGTTCCACACTCCCCATGTTGTCAATGAAGTCACGCTTTCCCAGGTAGATGGTCAGCTGTAGGGAAAAGATGACCACAGTTGCACTACAAAGTGTTGTGTGCTTGCGGATGGGAGAATACAGTCTGGAGCTGTAAATTCCATAGAGAACGGAGCAATTCCATTTTCAGCATGTTCTTTTTTTCTCCTCACCAAACAATTCACACAGGCTCTAAGAAGTCTCCCACATCAGAAGAGAGGACTGACGTGGAACAGCTCCAAGAAGTAAAACACAAATGCTCACAGATGGGACAGAACTACAGATTTAAATATTTCTGATGGTATCAGATTCGCTATCAAACAGTGAATCGGCTTTGTTTCAAACATTGACCAGCAGGGCTACAACCTGGACGAATGAGAGGGGAGTTGCCTTTTATACAAGACTGCAACAAGCTCTCCCGTATGAGCTTTGTTTACATTGTCTGCTCACACTTTGCACTAAATATGGATCGTGGTCCTTAAGAAACATGAAAGGGGACAGGAAAGAGGTTTGTATCAAGTCTTCATCTCGACTCTGAGTGAAACTCATAGAATCATAAGGTTGGAAAGGACCTACAGGATCATCCAGTCCATCACACCTACCTATACCTGTTATTATGGTACTTACGGCTTTGTCACGGGTGCTTTTCTTGAAGATAACTTGTTTTGGAGAGGAATCAGCATTCTTCCCTGTCTTCTGAGATTCGGGGCAGCTCATGACCGATGGGCAGGTAGGTAACTGTGGGTGAATGAACCTTTTCTCCCTCAAAGGTTCCTGGGAGAAATGTCAGAGGTGAGGGGTGAAAAAGATAAAAGGGTGAGGTAAAAACATAGGTACAACAGTTGGGTAAAACATTCTACTCCTATGGTATAGTTTACCAATCTGACTCTTCCAGTGGATACTCAAGTTCAGTACAAAGGTGGGTTCCTTACAAAGAAAAAAAAACAGAAACACACAACTATTTAAAAACAGCTCTTCAGAAACATTACAGAAAACCGAGGACTTGTTTTTCAGTCATTCGAAACATCATTTGGCCAGTAAAAAAATTCCAGAGGTGAAGGGATAGTTTGGCCTTTACAGAGAGATTTGTAGAGAGACTTTCTGTGGAGTACACGAGTAGAGATGAAGGTAATCTGATCAGCACAGGTACTTCAGTTTTCAAAAGGTTCACCAAGATTTGTCACCAGAGGCTCTACATTGCCATGAGTCAAGAAGGCAGGTCAATCTCAGTCAATAACTAAATAAGGTATAGGAAATAAACAATACAGTTTCTGGGAATTGTGGTTACTTTCAGGTTTGGGATTTATTTTTCACCATTGCAAGTATACACTAGAGCTTTTTCATCTGTCCTGGGACATCTGCCATGGAACACAGCCTTGGTTGTCCTGGAACATCTGCCACTGAACTTAGGGTGAATGCAAAGAAGCCTAGATAAGGAGTAAAGAGGCTGCCCATAGGTAGAAAACTACCCTGGGATCATCAAAGAAAAAAGCTGTCTGTGCTAAGTTGGAGGAGTGCTTCACAAAGAAGAGTGGATAGGTGCTGAAACACCATGGCAGTAAGTGCAAAACATCACACATGAGGAAAACACAACCGCTGTCTGATACGCACAGTTATAGTTGCTACCACGTAGGAAGAAGGTCTTGATGTAAGCAGGGAATTTATGTTCTTGATTCATTTCCTTGTAACAGAGCATGTGATTGATGCTATTTTAGAAACCCTGATGCATCCACATCTTGGAGCCAGCATGCTTTTAGTTTAAGATCCAGAATGGTGATACTCAGCACAAGGTGCAATGGGCACAATTTGGAACACAGGAAGTTCCATAAGAATGTGAGAAAACTCCTTTACAGTGAGGCTAGAAGCTCTGGCACAGGCTGCCCAGAGAGATGGTGGAGTCTTCTTCTCTGGAGATGCTCAAAACCCACCTGGATGCTTTCCTGTGCAAACTGTTTCAGCAGGGAGTTGAGCAAGATGGTCTCCAGTCCAACCCCTGTGATTCTGTGAGTAATGAGTCAGACCCAACCCAAAACGAGATCTCAACTCTACCACTGTATTTTTCTAAATCAGAACTGAACCGCTACTTCCAGAGCATCAGTGTATTTGAAACATGAAGGACCTAAAGAATATAATGGTCCAACTACCTGGCCCAGAAAGACAGTAAATGTAACCATAGGTAGGGAATAGCCTGGCTCCAAAACACAGACAGATGAAGTAAGATTCTTTCAGAGAAGGAAAAAATAAAGGCGTGGGGGAAAGGGCTACAAGGACCAAAAGGGCACAAGAGATGTCCAAAAAGAGATGTCCAGAAAACAAGTGGTAAAGAATGGAGAGATTATTTTTCACTCTGTCATAAGTAAAAAAGTGGCAGCATTGAATTAAGTGAATAAACAGCAAGTTCAAAATAAAATGTAGCGTTTACTCATAAAAGGTACAGTAGAGAAGACTGCACATCACCAATTTTAATAGATTTATGGGATTAGAAACGTCCCCAGGAAAAAGGGCTTTGGCAGCTGTTGGGCAGGATGATCCAGGTGCTGAGGAGCAGCAGCAGGAAAGCACGATGCTACACATTCATACACGTCTCCTTTCTGGATGCTCAGTCAGAATATATTTGGTCTGATTGTACATTACTGCTTCCAGCTTGTCTCCATTTTGTATTTCTACTTGCTTTCCCATTTTAAAACCGTTTCGGGAGAAGAAAGTTCCTACAACCTATTTGCACACACTACAGTAGAAAGAGGAAATCCTTTCCTTAGGAAACTTGAGAAAATTGTAAGGGAGAGGTTAAAGACAGACACACGGTTAAGAATTTCTATTTCATGGAATACAAACAGGTTTTCCAAGACCAGAAGAGTAGCTGTGGTTGAGCAGTCGCCTTATTCCCACTGCAGACCATAAGGAGAAACCGGCAAATAACGTTAAATACCTTGCTGTGTTCCGAAGGGCACGGGAGCCACCACAGGGCAAAGACATGAACTCCTAAGAAGCAGAAAGATGAATTTTCCGTGCAGTCACGTCCTGTGTGTCTTCCCATCAACCTGAGAATCACTGACCTCTTAGCAAGGAAGGAAGACAATTTGTAGAGGATTTTAAAGCGCGTCTCTGGTTGCGTCCATCCAGGATTTCAAGAATTAATCCCCCTCCAAGAGCAAATATTGCACCTGGGCTAAGATTCAACCGGAAAGCGGTTAAGTCAGCAAGAAAAGCATTACCTAAGGAAAACCAGGTCCTCAATGAACAGGTCTACAATGTCATCCTCACATGCTTTACAAAGGCAACAGACTTACACAGAACAGGATGGTTACTAAAGGAGCTTTATTCTAAAGCTCTTCTTCTCTCTTCTCCTTCGTAGGGTTTCAAGCATCCAGCCTGATAAGAAGCTAAACATAGAAGAGCTGTTTATGAAAAAGAGAGTTTACAAAGCAAGTCTCTACAAACAGATGCCATTATAAAGGACTGCCAGACATTCTGAGCAATGTATTAATCACAGTCACTGAGCTTTTTATGCGTTGTTGCTCCACCAATACCTCGCTGGCTTGCTCTTCAGAAGCAACACGTTGTTAGCTAGTGCACCTCCCATCCTCAATGCACTTACAAAAAGAGTGAAGCACAACATTGAAGGAAACACTTCAACAGAGATTTAATCCATTTAGCTTTACTGTTTGTGACTGTCCCAAGAATAGCATTCTTCTCCCCACAACATTGTAAATAACATCAAGACCAACAGTGTGTAACCTGTGTAAGCAGCAGTAGCTTTCCTCTGGGCTGCATCTGTTAATTTAATTAGAAAGACCTCACCAGACCCTCTCCACTTACCAGCCCAAACTGCCTCCTCTGCAGGCAATCTCGTGCTCACAGGTTGGGTTTGCTTTTTGCAGAGTCACTGGTGAATGAATACAGTTGCCCAGGCACACAAATAAATGAACGCAGAGCCAACGTTCCTCAGCTCTTTCCTTATTTCCAAAATTCCTGCAACATTTTATTAAATAGGATTTATCTGGGGAGTTTAATCGCTGTTCTGGCAAACTCAAACTCACCTGCCCTACAACGTGGAGAATTCACGTGTGCTCGAGGTGCTGTTTGGTGAAGTAAGGAAGAGGCTTCACAAATGAATCCACCTGTATTCAGTCTCACAGTGCAAAAAGAAAAGCGAGCTTTGTGAGGTGCTGCTGCTGCTGGAGGATTATGAGCCCTCCAGGAGAGGAATGAGCATTCTTGTTACCACCTCTGCTTCTCTGGAGGCCTGGCAGATGTGGGCACGCATCTCCTGAACAGCTTGGAGGCAGTTTCTCCACAGTTCACACTTTCAGTCTGTGGAGAAATGGCCCCTTGCTACTCCCAGCCACAGGAAGGGCAGCTCCACCATCAGCACAGAAACAGCACGACAGCACCCTCGCACAGCAGCTACCTTCATTTCTCTTCTTCCATCTACAGGTTGAACCACAAGTGAGCAACAGAATTAATTAAAAAAAAAAATGAAAACAACCTCAGGTAAAATAAAAAAGCTAAAATTGGCCATTGGAATTTCAGAGAAACCATGGTCCTAAGGAATTTCAATTTAAAATGATTAAGGTTTTAGCTAGCTAGCCATTATCACTGCTTTAGCGTTAAATTTTATTAACCTACTTTGTAACAGCACAAACAGGCAAAACAAAGCCCTTTGTGCAAGAATCTATGTGCATGATGTGGAAAATAGAAGTCTGATAGCCTAAGTTATAGAAGTCCTAAACCCATTCTGATCCCCCCCATCAGAGCCTGCAGTTATTATGTTAGCCTAATCTCCCAATAATCTTTCATTACGCTGACTTGCCATTCAGCAGTCTGTTTTTCTGCAGCGACCCAAGGTCACCTGGGATCTTGGTAGGTGCCTTTTGAGAAGCACCTGCAGCCACAGCAGCAGGCAGAAGGAGAAAACGCGGTCTCCAAAAAACGCCTCAAAATGCCAGTGTGGGTTTTCTCCTTTTTGCTGTGGTTCCCACGTCCAAGAGCTGGGCACAAAGTTTCTTGTCTCAGCAAAAAGAGGAGAGCAGTCACTTAAGGTTCATGGTTGCATATTTAAATCTGTTCATTAACAAAAACAGCTGAAGGCTTTGTTTCATTACTCTGAAGTAGCAACCAGAGCTTTATTCAATGAGGGTTTTGTGTTTTTGG